CATGAGACTGAGCAACATCCCCCACCCCGGCCCTGGAAAATTCCATCCTTTTTTCCAAACCTGGAGGGTCACTGACAGTGGTGCATCCACTGTATGAGATCATGGTATGTGCCCAATTTGTCTTTGGCTGGGTGCTGTCCGTCTCCTCCTCGAGGGAGGGCTCCCTTGCCTCCATGAAGGCAGTTGTGCCCTTTATATAGTTTTAGCATGTATCAGGTGGAACGGATAATTCAGTTTTCAGACCTTTGAGAGACCAAAACAATGAAAAAATCGCAAAATGTTCATGGCAAGCGAAGATTCGAATGGGGGCTGGCTAAAAGTCACTTCGATGCGTGCACGCACAGCCAACATCAATTGGAAGCATGAGCATTAAGTAGGTTTCATGGGTATGGAAGTGAGGACGGTCTCTTTCGTACTCAGGGGTAGTACAAAAGCCAGTTGTGCTGACATCGCACATTGTCTATGGTTCAGGCATAAATCCTGCGGCATGGTCTGATCTATCCTCTTTCTAGATGTGTGTGATAAATAACAGAAATTAGTGACCAACATTGTATGGGTTCTCCCACGGTAATATTAAACTCTCTGCCTAACTAAAAACTATGAACTTGACAATTTTGTAGGATATGCTGACAAAGAGTAATATGCACTTTTATGTGAGGTGTCTGATTTGATGTCGTAAGATATTCTGGGTAAATACCCAGAAATCCACACGCAGATCCACCATATTTCTGACAATAAATCCTGCTGACCCACCCCTGCCGACCTCAACCCATCTGATTCTAGGCACTCACGACCAATCCCCAACTGTCATCATGACCCCAGTCACCGCGGAAAGGCTGCTATCAGACTTATCAACGCAACTGGATACTTTTACCCGCTTTCTCAGAAACGACTTGACCCCTGTCACCTTGGAAAGGACATCGGGCCAAGTGGGTTTGCGGGCTGCGGAACTCATAGCAACAGGGAAGAATACCCATATGTGGCTACGACGACTCCAGGAAATCCATCATTGGACCAACCTAGCTTTGTGGGAGCAAGACTGGCTTCGACGGACTGGACGCAATAGGCCTATGCCATGCTCGGGGCCCCATCGACTAGGCACCATGGCCACATTCATCCAGGAAGAGAAATTATCCGACAGTCACAAGACCAAGAAAGCACTCCAGCATGGGCGCAGACTGATACGATTTGAATATGAACTTGGACCTGGAATTACGCTTCTTTTCGTACCAGTCCTTCCTGCTTTCCGCTGTTTGACCTTAGCTGAAGAAGCTAGGACGATGGAGATGCTGCGAGATGGCGACTTTGCACAGATCATGTACCAGGCGCAAGCTCTGGCTTGCCTGAGGTTCAATTATCAATGCATCCATGGAATTTATCCCGGTAAGCTAATACGGACCAGTTACCTATATTGTCTAGCTAAACTGTTCCCAATAGCAATGTCCTGCCCACCACATGCAGATCCAGCATGCCATAGCGCGGTTTCCGCTAGATCTTCATGAAAGCAAAAGCTTCACGTGCTGATGATGTATCCAGCCCCCACGGGTGCTCAGAAAACCCTTGCCAAACAAAGGATCCTCCAGCAGGCAGTGAAATTACCATCTTGACTGCGCCTCGCACGAACAGTACTTCATTTGATCGTAAATCGAAAGACCTCGGTGTTCTTCTTTCCTGTGCGAATTCGGTGCTCGTCAAGTGGTGGGAGATCGGATAGAGCTTCAAGGTTGTCACTCTATCCTCTATGGTATCTGAGAGGGTCCGGAAGACGGAAAGCCCATTTCGGCAAGGATGGGCGGCATTGATTCCCCAGTTTAGGCGATCCGACGAGTGGACGATGACCGGGCCCTGGTGGAGAAGGAAGGCAGGCCTCCCGGTCACTTCTTCGACCTTCCTGGTGAACTGTCATTATGTTTAGTTTTGTACAATGACCACTGAATTGAAGGACACACATCATTACCCTGGATTCCAAATCTCAGGAAGCTCTCGCATGCATCATGATCCCCTCTCCCATACATGACGGGCCCCGACGCTTCCTTTGGTCGTGTTCGAAGAGATTTCTTCACCTCCGTGACCATAGACTGGGGTGGCAAGTCGGCTGGAAGTATGCTATATCCCATAACCTCCATGGTCGAGGACCCTCTGTTGTCGTCACGGAAAATGGCTTGGTTGGACGTCATGTCTGCGGAGTAATACAGTCTAGCCAAATGAGGCTTGGTTCCGTTTGGCGAAATTTGTAGGACTTGTCCCACTATAAAAGAAAGAAATGATTATTTCTTGTACCAATGTGTAACCTGCGGGGAATATGACTTTTTATATTGCTTCGACTTAGCGATTAGACAAATGCGTAGGTGCTTCTAGCCTTCAACGGGAAGACGGAACTATTAGGACGATGGGTAACATGTCATTCTCCGCGCGTACTATCGCACCAAAACGTATCTGTTGGGAAACTAAGGCCGAGGAGTTTGTTGGTCTTCTAATATGCATTGTAACCATTCAGCTATGGCCATTATGAATCCATCCACTGGACTCATTGCAAGGCTTACGGTTCCACTCTCAAAGTTCTGTCTATCTACAATTCGAGGATTACAATTCTTCCAGAAAGAATAATATGACGATTTAATGTACAGACTTAATGGACGGGGGCTTGTTAACTTCATCAGAAGGAATACAAAAGCGTACATAAGGATATGGCATTTAATACAGGAATGAATAGCTGTCGTCTAAAACACTAACCCATACAATGTTTCAAGCGGCTCAAGGCGAAGACATGCCTGTCCAGTATCGATGATCATGCTCAGAACAGGTATCTTTCCCCTCTTCCGAAGAGCCTCACATCCGATCCTGGAACGAAGTTAGATAATAACACCCGGAGAATAGCGTTTGGGTGGCTGACGCATACATCGGTATTCGAGAATAAACGCTCCTCTTGCAGAGAATATGCTGCGTGCCGATAACTTAGAAAATATTTCCAGCGTACGGTTTAGTAAAGGCTCGACCTCTTGGTCTTCCTTTCCTCCCTGGAGCCCTGCGGCGCCTCTGATGAGAGTATATGCTGATTGTTCAGCGTAGTAGCTTCCGAGACCTCGCATATACCAAGCATATGATTTGGACTGCATGCTCCCAGCCAAAAGATTGAATACTCGCAACGTAGCCTTTGCAAAAGCAATACACTTCAATGCAGATACAGTGGATGGATGGATGGATGGATGGATGGATTTCATTTACCCTGACCCCTCGCAAAAAGGCGATATGCAGGCTACAACTACTGCGTAAATACATGCATTTGTGTTCCACGGAGATTGTTCCAAACTTCCTGAGCGGTGAACTTTGAGCCTCACCTGATAAGGCCTGTCGTGGCCAGCTTGCCGTTCATGGTGTTAGGCTGCCTTCATGGCGCGGCTATAATGAGTTACTCGATAAGGCCGCCAACAATCGTCTGCGGCTGGCTGCATCTCGGCTAGGAGCCTTGAGAATGCTGGTAAAGCTGAGATTAAAAACCTAGCGAGAGACTGTGAAGCAGATGCTTTTTGGTTGCGAGTTCGACTAGCTGAGCTCTTTCTGGTTTTCTTGTTGAGTTGGAATGGCGATGGTTTGTTGTGGAAACGGCGATAAAGGTCTTCGATTGTGAGTGTGCGTTTAGGAGAAGGTACGGATTGATAGGTATTGGAAGTTGGGTGCGATAGACAAGGTTTGGGGCGTTGCAAAACTGAGGCATAGGTAGGTTGTTGGTCTGGTGTGGAGGTAACGGGGGGTGTTGAGTAGAGAGGTTGAGGAGGCTGAGAGACTTTAGAGGAGTAGGTCGGTTGAGGTTGTTGCGGTCCTGGTTCAGGTATCGTAGTGGGCTGTACGGGGGCTGTATCGATGTTCATGGTTGAAGGTTTATCTGGCAGAATGGATGCTGGCGCTGATTCGGGAGGTGGTCGTTGAGATGGAGATGCGGTGTCTGAGGGGGTGACCATGTTGGGCATTTCAAATGTAGGCTTCAAATCGCGACAGATGATCTGCCATATGCAGTCTGCCAAATGGAGTTGTTGCATCTCTTCAATGGGATTATCCTGGAGTGTGTACAAGAGGATAGTCGATCCGCAGGCAAAACAGCACGCTGATCCTCCAGATCTTGAGGGCTTGCAATACAGGCCATTCTGAGCAAGTTGGAGAGGAGTGACGTCGGTAAGCACTTGTCTATGAAACGAGAGAGCTCTAGCTGCGATGGTGGAGTAGGTGATCGGGATTTGGTGGAGAGGTTCGTCGTTGGGATGTGGGGTAGTTCGGTTGGGTGGAGCAGAGGGGTTAGCGGATTTGAGGAGCGAAGAAGGACGACGTAGGGCTGAGAGAGGCTTGGGCTTCCAGCCTCCTCTGGCGTCTGGATGCTGCGAGCTCATCTCTCTTACCCTTGCTTCCCCTCGTACCCCCTCGTCAGTCGATACAGTAGTGACCGGCATCGCCTTCTGCAGATACAGTGGATAGCGAAATCAGCTTCCGCCCCAAGCATTGCTTTTCTATTTTGCGGCCCCACTGCCAAGACGCTAGCATGCATTTTTTACTCTACGGTAATTTATAAATAGATTGTAATCGTGATTATGACAATACCAGAAAACATAATACAAAGCGCTTACAATACAAGACAATTTCACTGATGGTACTGTACCTATCACATCGTTTTGAGTCCACGACGTAGATGGGAACAGACAGCTGGTCCAGGCAATGACAGCGAAGGTCTTTTATTAACCGAGTTATACAAAGGCAATGTAGACTGAAAAGAACGACCAGTCTTATTTAAATTATGTGCTTGATCCGTTATTGCATGAATGGCTGGATCATGGATCATGGACAAAGTATCTCAGTACCGAGAGCAAGAATTATAGTACCACTGCCGAGAAAGAAAAAAGCATTTTGGAAGGGGGAGGATGGGAGGTCGACTGATCAACCCAATGATATCCCTGGAGAATTTGCACTATATGGTGGTATCCTCCCCGACGGGCAGCCTGGAGGACATTTCCCTAATTTCCACCTTGGGCATTGACATCGGCTCCTCGCTCTAGCAGCATCTGTGCGACCTTGTCGTGTCCTTCAGCATAAGCAGCCTGGAGGGCACTTCCTATATGTCCACCCTGGGCATTGATTTCGGCTCCTCGATCTAGCAGCATCTGTGCGATCTTGTCGTGTCCTTCAACACAAGCAGCCTGGAGGGCGGTATTTACGTGCTCTCCACCTTGAGCATGAGCATTGATATCGGCTCCGCGCTCTAACAACATCTGCGCGAGCTTGTCATATCCCTCAGCACAAGCAGCCTGGAGGGCAGTTCCGTACTCTCCACCTTGAGCATTGACATCGGCTCCGTGCTCTAGCAACATCTGCGCGAACTTGTCATATCCCTCAGCACAAGCAGCCTGGAGGGCAGTCCCGTACTTTCCACCTTGGGCATTGACATCGGCTCCGTGCTCTAGCAACATCTGCGCGAACTTGTCATATCCCTCAGCACAAGCAGCCTGGAGGGCAGTCCCGTACTTTCCACCTTGGGCATTGACATCGGCTCCGTGCTCTAGCAACATCTGCGCGAACTTGTCATATCCCCCAGCACAAGCAGCCTGGAGGGCTGTTCCGTACTTTCCACTCTGGGCATTGACATCAGCCCCATGCTCTAGCAACATCTCCACGATCTTGTCATGTCCCTCTAAATAAGCAATCTGTAGGGCATTTCCGCAGCGACCACCCTGGGCGTTAACGTCGGCTCCGTGGTCTAGTAGCATCTGCACGAACTTGTCTTTTCCTTTGAAGCAAGTAATATGTAGGGCATTCCCGTAGCGACCACCATCCCCGTAACGACCACCCTGGGCGTTGACATCGGCTCCGTGCTCTAGCAACATCTTCACGATCTTGTCATTTCCCTGCATACAAGCAGTATGGAGCGCATTTCCGTGCTCTTCACGTTGGTGGGCATTGACATCAGCTCCGTGCTCTAGCAACATCTTCACGATCTTGTCATTCCCTAGCATACAAGCAGCTAGGAGTCCGTATCCGGAACGACCATCTTGGGTGTTGACGTCGGCTCCGCGCTCTAGCAGCATTTGCGCGAGCTTGTGATGTTCTCCACTACAAGCGTACTGGAGGGCATTCCCGAACTCTCCACCCTGAGCGTTGACATCGGCTCCGTGGTCTAACAGCATTTCCGCGATTTTGTCGTACCCCTTGAGACAAGCAACCTGGAGAGCGTTTTTGCATGTTACATAGAAAAAGGGAGAATATTCACCCTGGGCATTCACATCCGCTCCGCGCGCTAGCAACATCTGCACGAGCTTGTCATATCCCTCAGCACAAGCAGCCTGGAGGGCAGTCCCGTACTTTCCACCTTGGGCATTGACATCGGCTCCGTGCTCTAGCAACATCTGCGCGAACTTGTCATATCCCCCAGCACAAGCAGCCTGGAGGGCATTCCCGTACTTTCCACCTTGGGCATTGACATCGGCTCCGTGCTCTAGCAACATCTGTATGATCTTGTCATATCCCCCAGCACAAGCAGCCTGGAGGGCAGTTCCGTACTCTCCACCTTGGGCATTGATATTAGCTCCGTGCTCTAGTAGCATCTGCCCGATCTTGTCGTGTCCATTCAGCGAGGCCCACATCAGCGGGTATGCTGTCGTATTATCTGCTGTATTGACATCTGTTTTGTTAACAGCAAGTAGAAATTGAACCTCCTGCTCATGGCCGTTAAATGCTGCTAGATGCAATGCTCTCATCTTAGGTACATATCGGTGTGGCTTCACCGCCCTCCAGAAAATGGGAAACCATAGCGAAAATCGTTTCCCACTAATATCGTATAGTTGATGCAGTCGATTCGTTACTTCTTTGTCTGACGTCCGAGTCATCTTTCGTACGTGATCAGGCCAATGTACTGCTGAATATGTCAAAAAGCTTCGAATATTAGAGCACGATTCGTCTTCATCCTCTTCCAAATCCTCCATCAACAAGTATCGCAGACATATATGGGCCATTTGGTCCTCATTGTCACTGAGGCTACACGAGAATGCGAAATCGACACTATTCGAACTGGTCTGTTCTATGAGAAATTCCCTTGCTGTCTGATGAATAAGGTAGATTTTGGAGTTGTTGATGAAAACAAAAAGGCCGCATAATCGACGGAGCTTCTTCTCCACCTGCAGTGGATCTAGTCCAGCTTGTGCCACAGTTCGCAATTGTGGGCAAATGGCTATGCCTAGAGCTATGGCCATTTCCGCGACTGTCAAAGGACGCCGTGCTGCAACAGTAATCTGTAAGACCTTTCTCACAGTGTTTACTTGGCTTGAAGGGACTCGACTAAGAATCTTTTCATATGCCTTATTCACTGAAGGAGGTATCATTCGGATTGATTCCTCAGCAGGCCGAAGGCTATTCTCGAATGTCGATTGAATATCGTCAATTGCCAAATGCAGCCAAAGATACGTCCGGTGTTCCATTTGCAAAAGTTGTTGCTCGAGTCGCTGCTGTATATCCCATGATAATGACGCTGTTTCTGCCAGCTCCTTTACTCGCATCTTCACGACCAGATCTATTTCTTTATGGATTTGATCATTTTTCTCCTCCCCCTTCAGGTTGAGATGTGGGAACGAGCCCGTGATCACCTGGAAGCGATTCTGGATGTGGGCATAGGGACGACTGGTGACCAGGAATTTCAAACAGGTATTCTGTGGTAATGAACATGGCTGGCCGTTGAAGAACTGGAGCTTTTCAATCAATCGATTCTGATCAATATCACGGCATTCATCAAGCGCATCAAATATACATATCGTCTTGGATGATACATCCACCGATGTTGCCGTTACGAAGATCCGCCATAGCTCATCAACTTCTTGTCGGATTTTCTGCCCGTTCTTTTCCCAGGGCGGTATCGCATAGCGTAAGAGGTGCGGCCGCTGGCTGAAGAGCTGATGTAGTACGGAACACAATGCTGCAGAAAGATGGTTCTGTTCATCATTGTCCTTGAAAAAAAAGTAACATATCGTCACTGCTGGAGTAGAAGCTTGCACATAGTCATCGATAATCGATCTGGCCAGTACAGACTTCCCGCAGCCTGGATCGGCTGACACCCATAGAAGGTCATTAGAATTGCTCCCCCACCAACGGATATATTCAGGGCTCTGAAGAGCCCATTGACAGGTTCCTTCCACTCTTCGCGGATTGATATTCTTTTGCTCCGTGTAATTTGATACCTTGAAAGCTTGATGACAATGTTGGTGCCGATCCATCAAAGCTCCTGTGACCTTCTCACGATGATGCTGTTCTTGTTGATTGTATGTTCTGTCTAGGCGTTTATTTGTGCCTTGAATTTCATCCTTCAATTTATCTATGTAAAGCCATATAAGCAAACCAAACTTGATTGGACACCGAGCTATTATTGATTTCACTTACTACATGCATCAACAACTAAGCTCTCTTGCGAGACATGGCCCACTGGTATATATCCCAGCAGCTCCTTAGCACACGATGCCGCTGTTAAGGCCGCATACCCTTGCCACTGCTTATTCTTATGGGAATCAGCGTAATCACAGATCCCGCGGATGACGATACAAGGAAAGTCCATCATCAACCCAGCTGCCTCCATCTCAAAACACAAGGCCCCAGTCGCTAGCCTCAGCTGCTCCCGGGTCCATCCATGTTTGATGACAGCACTCCCAGATGCAATGATCCCGTAGTGTAATTGTGGATCGTTGTTCTCGCGTTCACTTCTTCTCTCTTCCCATTCCGCCGAACACTTATCACAGCTAATTGCAGTCGCCGGATGCTCGTTTTTCGGCTTAAACAATCGATCCTGTTGTACGTCAGGTCGGCCAAAATTTTTCCGGGTTCGTGGGGTTCTTTCGGTCGCGCTAGCAACATATTCCGGAAATCGGGGATCATCCGTAAGCTCGGTAGCTCTCATTAAGTTGACTGCCGTCAACAGTGACCTGGGCGGACTGTTCAAAGACCCAGTTCGACGAAATTCCCCACCCACACCAACTTTCCCCATGTCATACTGAAGAACCCCTCCAGAAGTACCTTCTGGGCAACTGATCACAACATCACCAAGTCGTATATCATGAGCAGCCGACGGAATGCCGCCTCCAACACCAACCATCAACCCAATGCGGAGCGATTTCGAAAAAGTGCGGACCATGTTATTTGCGACCGTGGTGGCCGAGGTATTGCCATATTGCCCTGCAGGGAGGCACGCGATCGCAACGTTATGTTGCCCGACTCGGCCCAGCGTATAGGTATTTGGGTCGGATCTATCTTGCGCACCGAGAAGGCCAAAACTTTCATCCAGCATCTCTTTAGCTGCGGCAGCCTCGATCGGAAGGGCACATATCCAGCCAATTTGGAATGTTTCGAGCGGGGGTTGGGCCATGTTAGAGGTCGGGTAGTCCTAATAAGAAGCGAAGCTTTCTCGGTAATGAATAAATATTGAGATTAGCCAAAAGACTGTTAAAGATATTTCACAGATTAACTACTGTATCTGTGATATGTTGAGAAGAAAATTGGAGAGGGCATGGGAGACAAAACGGAAGGCGTTTTCAGCCGCCAGGGCCTTTGCTTCCGTGCTAACTACGGGGCGCTGGCGGCAGGAGATGAAATGTTATTGGCGAGACCTGCCGGGCACGGATGTGAAAGTCAGGGAAGACCAGATAGTTGCCAAAAGCACCCTCACAAACAAAAAACACCTAGGAAAGCCTAGTAAAATTCAAGCCGTAACACTGCTGTCAGATACCAGTCAATACCCCTAGTAGGTGATTTTTATTGGGCTCCCGTCAAATAGATTCTTGCGCTAGTCTCTTGGCAGTGGGGCCAGAAAAAAGAAGAGCAGTCTTAAGGGAGGAAGCTGTTTTCGCTCTCCACTGTATACACGGATCACATATATGTGTCAGTGCCATGATAATGCGAGTTGCTGATTTTCACAGCGCCTTTAGGTGTTTGCTACAAGATTGTTCCTGCAGTCAGTAAATTGAGGGCCGCAACTACCAGTGGGTCTCAAAAAGGCCAATTCCATAGAAAGGTACCCAGTCACGTGCATCACCCAGTACTCAAGAAGTGGACCGAAATCAAAACCCATTTCGAATGAATAGTACTGTAAATCTGGAACCGTAAGTCCGGTTTTAAATACCGGTCAATACCTCAAGCAGTCGACTTTTTATTGATATCCGTTAAATAAATATTCACACTAGTGCCTTGGCAGTGGGGCCCGAGAAAATAAAAGCTGTCTGTAGGGAGGAAGCTGATTTCGCTATCGACTGTAATCTTGTTTCTGGTGTCGTCTCCCCATCTAGGTATCGCTGAAGATAAGGCAAAAGAGAAGATGAAGCAGATAGTTGATATAGCAGTGCAGTATACCATAGCCGCCTTGATGAGAGATTGACTGCGAACCAGGTCCACCGAGCTTGGTGTTAAGCTCGCTGCAGACTTTCTCCATACGGTCTAGCTCAGTCTCAAGGACAGCGAGGGTACACTCTGACATCAAACCATGCTCTGCGCTCACACAGATCGTGTCTGATATCTTCAACAGTTGAGAATTCAACATGGCAAACGTCGTCTCCATGGGAGATAATTCTGCGGCACCTGTTGATAGGCTTGAATGTTCAGGATACTCTTTGCAGATATCAGTTAGTAGCTGTATACCTTGGGTGAGTACCGGGTTGCGGTAGTAGTCGTGCATCTGAGCGTTGAGCATAAACAGGGCTTTCAGGCTAACCAGAATACATCGGTATTCCTCGCAAATCTTGGGCTGGACAACACACTGCTCGGTATCCACATGACATTTGGTAGATATTGCCGCACGGCAGGCCAGTTGCAGGTCACTGAATACATCCTCTCCACGGTGTGTGCGACCATAGATTATGAGTACCATCGCTTTCAGTGAACTCTGTGATATTTCAAATGGTGGGTCGTTGGTCAACTGACAGTGCCAGGCAGCTTCCTCGTACCGCATCGACAAATCATCGGAGAAACAGCCTCTTCCAGAATCTTCTTCCGCACGCCAGGCTAGTGCTAAAATTGCAAAAAGTAAGGATAGCCAGGATTGCGGCGCGACATTAAAATTGCGGCAGAATGCCTCATACTCAGCTTCGAAGCTGGCGGCGTCGATGACACAACATAGCTAGCGTGGTGTTAGTGAACATATCTCGGCAGTTTGATAGGCCAACTTTACCATGGACATAGATGTAAAGTATCTTTCCATAAGATGGTCAATCACTTCACGGTTTGGGAGGACGTCGAGGAGTTTCTCATATGAAGCGCACCCTGCCAGTGAAGATGGGCCAACAGCACTGTCGGAACTGCTGACATCTGGGCTTGGAGTTCTGCCCGGCTCCGACGGGGCAGTCAAACTGCTGGTTTTGAAAAGTGGTGTGGTAACTCCCTCTGACTCATCGTGGAATGCTCGTCTCGTATCAATAGCAGCAAGAGTGGAGGTGTAGGATGACGGACTACTGTAAGACTCTTCATGGAGAGGGCTCTCAGCCGGTTGGACTGGGTCCTTCTCTAGTACTGCATTCCAGGATGACTCGGCGGGAATATCGGACTGACATAGAGGTGTATGCGGTATTGTGGGTTTCGTGTGAACTGTTTTTGCAAACTCACACGTACTTTCAATTTCACGAAGAGTACATGATACACACGGAGGTCCTTTGCCAGTGCAGCGGATTTTCTTGGCGCGGCACGGCAGGCAGGCAGATCTGGCCCTTGCCAGGTGCTTCTCGCTGCGCGAGCCAAGCTCAAACGTACATGCTCCATTTCCACGTAGAACGCATTCCTCACACGGCGGCCCTCCCCTGCAAAGTGTGCTGTTCGTGAGACACGGGCCGCATGCGTCACTTTCGATCCTTGCCTGCTGTGCAACAAGCTTCCTGCTAATTGCAGTGAGGACAAATTCACAAGACTCTTTCCCCCGTTCAAAACAGTTCTGACAAGGAGGTCCCCCAGCGCAGCGTTTCCTAGTAGTGCGACAAGTTTCGCATGCTGTACTAGTTCGAGCTGCCATAGTACACTGAGATTGCTGACTCCTCGAGCTCTTGGAATAGAAAGGTCATTCAATGAATAAAAATAAAGGTTCTTGTCATGCTGGTCTGGCGATTGGTAACTTTATAATTGACAGGAGACGTCGCGACTTTCCGACTTACCTTAATGGAGTAGGACGGCTGACCTTGAACCCAGTTATAGCCTCTCCGCTTCTTCCGTCCAACATGATCGTTGGTTAATCCGTCATCTAGAGTACGTTCTAGACATGGTGTATACTCACCCTTCTGTCGAACCGGGCAACCTATCATTATGATGTAATGATGTCTTGCCGAAAGAGGAGAGTATCTGCTTTGTAGCTGACTTCTATAAACGCCGAAAAAGGCATACTAAGTAGAGATCTATCCCGACAGAGTGTAATGCCTCGAATACCATCTCGAAAATGTTCTAAATAAGGCTGGAAATCAATGGCCAGGTTGTTGCAAACGAGTAGTAAAAGGAATGATATTGCGTCACATTGATGGGTGACTTTGAGCCCGGTAGCCCAAGTTCATAGCGAAAAGGGGGGAAAGAAAAACCTAATGCGCACAATCACTCAAGTGGCTCGAAAGAGTTCCCAGAGATCCGTTCCCAAACAGTATTTACCAGCCCCTGGGTCATGACAATGACAATCAACAACAGTCGTGACCCACAAATGGCGAAGCTGAGGATCAGGCGCCGGAAATACTTCCAATTTCCAATCAAAGCTGCTTTACAAATTTGGCGTAGTAATTGGACCTTGACTCGTAGCGTGTACTGGCTATCCGGATGCTCAGCCTGCCAAATCATTGTTCGACCAGGTGTCGTCATCTCCAGCACAGTGAATGGAACCAAAGTGGAAGTATTGCCATAGACGACAGGGCATAGAGGCAGTAGTCTTTTTTGAGTTTTGCTGCCAACTCGAAGGCCTTCGGTTCCGGATAGTGGCTTCCACTCTGGATTCCTCCAATGCCGCAGTGTGTGACAAACCATGCACCAAAAATACCCTCCGTGGTCGAGGAGAAATGCGCACCCGAATATGGAGCTTTTCATCTCGTTCAGGGAAGGCTCTAGCTTCCACCCCGCTGCTCCTATTGTCACAGCTTTTTCATCTTGCTCCCGGATGTGCAACATATCCCAGGGCTGGTCAATTGGTTAGTAATTTTCCTCAACACGGAAAGCGAAGCTCACTTCTAATTTCAAGACCATCAGGTATGTAATTGCTGCAGAGAGGCATATCTCCATTTTGAGCGCAGAATAATTCAAGTCAGATGCCAATAAATATCCTCGCCTCTTGGAACGTAATCTTCCCCAGGGAATGGAAAGCATTTATATCCTTGCGCGTCATGGTATGGAATATAGAGACACAAATCAATTGACAGCCTTCTCCTTATGCGGCACCACGAGCCGTCAGACTCCCATTCGTCGATATCAGACAATATCAAATCGCCTATTTCCTCAAATGAAAGATCAGGGCCGGCATCACAAGGTATATGGTAAGGATTTTGCTGGTGCAGCATCGTCTAAACTTACGGCATATTTGCCGAGCTTACCTGCTTTTTCATTGTTTCAGGGTATTGCTACTTAGGGAGCGGAAATTAAAAAGTGCAGAGATAAAGCAATCGACGATGAAAATGCCTTTCTCGAAAAACCGAGTATAAGCCTAGAGGATCTTGATAACCAAAGCAGTATATCTTGAATATGAAGCAATGGGGTGTGTTCCCACAACCAGGGTCGTTTTGAGCTTGGGTTTGAATTTGGATATAATGCAGTCCATTTTTTCTAATACGATCAGTCTATTTCCGTCCACTCAAAATTCTGAAATCTGGATATGCGAATAATTTTAACCCGGAACAAAAAGAAATGCTTCTCCTTGGATGATCAGTTGCGAGTAACGGACAGTGAATAGACTTTAAGGTTCGTTTCTGAGACTCGATCAGGAAATTCTAGATACAAATTGGTGAAAGAGTGTCCTCACATGTCTCTTCTAGCCATGCCAACGCCCACGACTTCAGATTAGGCGCCGGGATGAATGTTCTGCCCTGAAGCATCCCGAGGCTTAGGTCAACTTTCTCGTATGATATTCCTGTGATAGATTAGCAAAATCCAAGCTCAGCACAAAAAATACTTACACCCGAGGATTCATTCCACGTCGATCTTCAGGGCCCCAGATGATTGTAATCAAGCCTCTGATAAAAATACCGCATCTGCGAGAAGGACCTGCGGCGTGACCGTAACCCATTCGTCGTAGTTTCCCACAATGCTTGAATAGAAGTCATCCCAGTCAGACTGAGTATTTCTATCTAGAGCTAGAAGCAGTGTTGGTTTGAGCTCGGGCTTGGCCGCAATAATATGTTTCGCCAAAGACATGCAATCTTCGAG